CCCGCCGCTGCGCCCTCCAGCCCCTGTTCCTCGGGCCGGCCCGCGTGGGTCCCAGCGGGCGTGAACCCACCATGCAGCTGCAGTTCCGGAGCTGGATGCTGGCCGCGCTCACGCTGCTCGTGGTCTTCCTCATTTTCGCAGACATATCGGAGATCGAAGAAGAAATCGGGTAAATAGCTGCGCCCGGGCCGTGCCACGATCCCTGGGCGGGATCTTTTCCTGCCCCTGTGCTCTCCCTGCCCCCCTCGCCCGCTTTGTGTGCGCCGCGCCCCCCTGTCGCTCTGCTAGGGAGATGGGGACGGTTTGGTCAGGGGGTGGAGGTGCGGAGGGCCCGGGACGGTTTGCGGAGCTGAGGATGGGGGCACGGCTGCGGGGGGGTGGGGTCCCCGGGCGGGATGCACCGGCAGCCCCCAGTGGGCTCGCGTGGGTAAGCGGACTCGCGCACCCTGCCCCCTTCTCTGGCGTGTCCGCGCACAGTGTCGCCCGGGTCGAGGGAGGGCGCCGGGGAGTGTCTCGCGCGGGCGGAGGGGCCGAGAGTAGAGGAGGCAGGAGTTTCTTTGTCTCCGGCTCCGCTGCTTTCTCGCCTTGGCAAAGTGGGCAGGGGGCGCACGGGGATCTCTGAGCTGGGGGAGGGGATCCCCGGGCCGGAGCTGAGGGCGGGGGCTTTGCACGAGCTCACGCGAAGGGAGATGGCCCCATGCACACACAGACACGCACACGCGCCTCCCGCTGGCCCAGGAGCCGGGGACGGGGACTGGCACTGGTACAGGCGGGCGCACGGGGCTGGGCTGAGACCTCCGCCCACTCGCCTGGCTTTGGACGCTCAGCCAACCTTGCGGCTCCCCCGGCCACCCCAGGTTTCTCGTTCCTACAACGTAGAGAGCCAGACGTTTAGGGAAGTCTGTATGGCTGCCCGTACAGACTGTGGGCTTTGGCCCCCAGACCAGCAACCTCGCCTTAGCTTTTCTTACGATTTCGCCAAAAGTGGGGCGGGACCGCTCCTCCGGACTCCGGACTTCCAGGAGCGCGCACTTGCGGCGCGGGACATGCCCTCAGTGTGTCCCAGAGGCTGACACTCTCGTCCCGCCCTGCTGCCTCTTGCCTATGGGGCCCCAGCACGGCCCATTTCCACAGGCTCCAAAGGGCAGTGGACAAGTGGGGAGGCAGCCGGGGTTGTGAGGGACTAAAGGAGAGCTTCCTGTCCCTGGGCAGGGAGAAGGTGAGGCCTCAGCAAGGGCAGAAACTCCCTTCTCTGCGCGACTCCTGGCAAGCCAGGAGTCCTACATGAGCCCCGAGCAGCGGCACCCCTCCTTTGTCCCATTTGTTATGTCATTTATTATCAGCTCCCCTTGATGGCCTGCCACTCTGTCAGATCCCTCCATAGGGAGATGCCAGTCCTGGGCCCTGGAAGCCCAGCCCACTGGGACCAAAACGGTTAAGTGCCACTTTCCACTCGTCTTTCCTCCCTGCCCCATCCTCTCCCCAGAATTCCTCCCCAGAACTCCGCTGTACTTCAAGAACCCCCCTCTGCCTCTTTCTCCTCCCCATATTCTGTTCTCCCAAGAGCTCCGGAAACTTTCACAAATGCTGTTCCCTTAATACACAACGTGCCACCAGCACCCACGCGGAGATAGACGCGCTACTTTCTGTAGTTTGCCTCAAAAACGTGGATCATACAGCAAACCGGGCAAGCCCTGAGGTGATGGAAGATGCAGGGAAGGGGACCCTTCTGTGAGCCCTGACTCCCACCCCCAGCTTTCTTCTAGGTGTGGGCCCTGCCTGGCCCAGATCACTTGCTGACCTTCGAGATGAGAGAGGGAAGGACCAGGAGCTGCCTTTGTTCAGTCCTAAGAGCCTAAGTGCAGTGCACATGGGGGCATCCCTCACTCACCCATTCACTGAACTTGTTCCAAATACCTTCCACATGCAGGGGGCTTTTAATTTTTAAAACCCAATTAAGAGATCACTTTGCACATCATGTTGCACTTTCTGACAAATGCTTCCCCTCTCACAGGAGCTTGTTCCAACGGGATTGAATAAGCTTCCAGGCCTCAGTTTAAAAGAGTATTTACAGGGTCAGCAGGTGGAATGGAGGTTAAGGTGCTGGGTCTCTCATGGCTGACGGCGTGGTTCAAGTCCTAGACCCAGCTGCTTGAAAAACACTCCAGGTGCATGTGTGTGCAGGCCCAAAATCCTTAGAGGAGAATGGAGGAGAAGGGATTGTGGCATGGCCACCCACCTGGCTGGGTGATTTTTCACTTCCCTCTCTCTGTCTCTGGGTGGTCACACTCGCCCTATGGGCAAAATCTTTAAAACAAAAAAAGAGCATTTACAAATACACACACGTACACAGAATATACGAGCTAGAATTCTGCTGCTGTGGGCATGTTCCCTATTTCTTTTATGTGGTCTCTGGATAAGCTGTTCCAAGGAAAAGACTGATAAACGGGTCAAATGTGGTATCTTCTGTCTCTGTTCTCCCTTGGCATCAAGCTGACTCCTGGCCTGACCAGCCAAGACCCATACCTGAGGCTCTAGCCCCGATTCTGACAGAGCTGTTTGAACCATTCCTGTGCATGCCATGGGACTGGAACCAACACGCCGGTCCCATCCACGATCAGCCCCACATATTTAATCCAGGAGAACGGAGACGTATCTCGATTCTCCATGGCAGGGGTAGAGAGGAATGATGTGAGCAGAGTCTAGGCACCTCAGCAGCCTTTTCTATTCACTAACAAGACAGCTTGTAAACCCAGGATTGCTTATTTAACCCCCAGGACCACCCCAATGTGGAGCAGCCGGGCTCAGTGTGGGTACGTGGCCTGGTGCAGTGACCAGAGAAGGTGCTGAGCGCTCTGGCTTCACCATCTGCCTTCCTGGGAGACCTAGAGCCAGACTCGAGTTCAGGTGCTGTAGCAGCAGCCTTGCCCATCCCTCTCCAAACTTGTCCCAACCCATGCTAGGGAGGAGTACAGACCACCCAGGAGAAAACGATGCTTCTGCAGCAAAACAAGCTGTTTCCTGAAGGCCATGAACAGGGGGCCCTGTGTCCAGAAGGAAAGAACCTCTTTTGGGGTAAATCTTCCAAGGAGAAAGGAAGGAAAAGTGAAAGGAGAAAGTGAATTACACGTGTCTCATTAAATCAACTGAGGTCGGTCTTTCCGAAGCTCTTGATTCCCTTTCTTATACAATGGGGCTTTTGGGGTGATGGTCTCAGAGGTCCTGTCTTGCTGGAGGATCATACAGGGTATCATGAGGGATAGGGCTTTTGTTCCAGGGCTGTTTCTGAGAGACAAGTCTCTTAAGGGATTATGTTCAAAGTTCCAACTTTGAAACACTCTCACTCTCATTCAGCTGAGGCTGAATGAGTAGAGGAAGCGTAGAGAGAGAGTCTCTGTGAAGCACTCAGTGCCCTGCCTGCTGGCCGAGGGGCAAGTTCAAGCCTAAGTCAGAAAGTGGGCGGGGCTTTGGGACCTCCTTCCCCCCCATATCTCGAGCAGCTTCCCACATTTGAGAGGGACTGAACTACGTTGTAAGCTACAATCTTTCAGTCTTGAGTGTCACTCCAGGAAGGCGGTGTGGAAAGAGGCTGCATTGCTCACCTGAGAGTCCCCAGCACCTGGCACACACAATGCAATCCTTTAATATCCATTGGGTATCTCCGGGAGCCTGGCACCACAATGGGCACACACATGCAGCGCCTGGGGCACGGCTGAGACTCACAGGGCCTGACAACAGGAAGGGAACCTAGGGCGCCTCTACAGAAAACTCGGCCCACTTATTGAATTATTGCCAGGGAGCATGGGCACTCACTAGAGAGAGACAGAGAGAGAGGGAGAGAGAGAAAGCACCCCCCAGTGGAGCATAATTACATTGCAGTCCCTTCTCCATTTCTCCATCCTATTGGGATTCCAAGCCACCAGATCAGGATTCGAACTACAGTCAGCCATCTAGCTGCCTTCACCACAAGATCATGGAGCTAGGTCCTGCCCTCTTAAAAAAAATGTATTTCCTCATGAGACTAAGAGATGGGAAGGGTGGGGAAATAGACAAGTATCCACAACCAGGTCTCACGCTATGATCCACCCTCTGCCCCAGCTTCCAGCCAGCCAAGATCACGGTGATGCAAGCCCTCTGTACCACCCAGCTGCCCAGAAACCTCCCCGCTTTTCATCAGTTAGGGTGAATCTGACCCTCTGAGAAGTAATAGCGCTTAACTGAGATCACTCCCTGGCTGGTAGGAGCAAGGCAGGCTCACACAGGTCTCTTGTTCTGTAACCCACCGCCCCAGTCCCCGAATGAGTTCCTTTAATCCTAAAGCAGTCACAGAACTCTGGTTAAAGAAGTGGGTCACGCACAATGACAGTAACAACAGCAGTCATGACAGAGGTAAAGATGACGACGACGGTTAGCATGCACACACGTTTGCCATGAGCCAAGGGCTATCCCAACTGCTTCACAGACATGCACACCGTCCCTCCTCTAGCAGTCTTGGAGTCACTACCAGTGACTCCAAGAACTGCTAGTGTTGAGTTTTCTGGGCCGAAAACTGGATCAACTGTTGATACGTGGAAGTCCTAGTTCTCTGAATCCACATGCACCAAACCCCTCTAAGCTAAGCACAACTTATAAGGAGGACATCAAGGTTCAAGGTTGTACAACTTGCTACCGATAAAGCAAGTGTTTGACCCTAACTCCACAGGAGGGCAAATTCTGCTGACCATCATGCTAGACTCTGAATTTGAATTCTTTTCCCCCTGAATTCAAAGTAGGGACTAGGTTTCAGGACCGGTCTTCACAACTAATTCCCTGAGGTTCTTCCAAAGGCCCCTCCCTAGTTTTCCTGCAAACCTGGTCTGGTCTTAGTAGTCCCCTCTCTTCTCCTTAGTAATTTAGAAATAGAGAAGCTACTAGAGGCCAGAAGAAGGCATAGTGGTTACATTGTTGGACTTCCAAATGGCCAAACATGGGTTGAGTCCCAGACCCAGTGGCTTGAAAACCATGCCAGGCACGTATGTGTGTGTACCCAAGATCCCAGGAGAATAGAGAAGGGACTGTAGTACAGCCATACCCCCAGTGGGCGATTTCTCACTTTCACTGCCACTGTTTCTGTCTCTCTCTCCAGCAAGCACACATGCCCTAAGACAAAAACCTTTTTTTTTAAAAAAA